ATAATGGTAGGCAAATTTGTTCCCTCTGCTTTGGCCTTGACCATGCAAAAAGAGTGTGCCCTAAGGCCAAATCCGCTGCTGCAGCTTCTGAGCCCCCCTCTGGAGGTTCAGTATGGGGCGCTTTGCTGCCCCCTTCCAACCTCCAATCTCGTTCAGTGGGCTCACATGGAAAATCAGCCCCACCCAAAACCTCCATCCTCACTCTCCCACCTAAATCTACGCCAGCTAATCAGAGCAATGCTTGGACCAACATTCGCACCCAAGCAGCTGCCCATTCGCCCAATCCTACCCACTCAACTTTAAGCGCCACTATTCCAGTGAACCAAAATCCATGGGATCTATTGGCTGAAACTGACGAATCAGGTAATGTCCTCATTAGTAAGCATACAGGTCAACCTCTCTGCCATGGCGATTATGGTCAGGCAGAATTTTTCCTTCCCGACTTTGATGAAACCCCTACCCCTCGCCATTTTGCTCCTCTACCCAATACAGCCCCCTTCCAAAGTGACCACCAGCTCGCCTTAGCTGCGGTGGCCTCTCCTCATTGCCCAAAACTACGCACCGCGGTGACCCAGTCAGTGGCTCAGCTCCAGCATGGCCTGCCCACCATCTTCTTCCCCCCGACTTCCCTGAATCTCCCTGCAGTGACATCTCAAAACTATTTGATGATGCTGAAATCGCCGTTATGAATGTCGCAACGCTTGCTTTATTCAACCCCTCAGCCAAAATCACCCGCCACAGTATCTCCCTTTTCACCCAACTTCCTGAAGCCCGCAAAGAAGCTGAAGTTCCTTCTCGCAGCTTTTGTTGAAACACTTTCCCATCATTATCTTGATGCAGAAGTGGAAAACTCCTACTACGCTGACCTCAGCCCCCACTATGCAGATGCCCCAACGCCCTGGCTCTCTGCTCTGATCTGGTACTGTAACCAACACCCCTTGATCGAGGTGGGTCTTTCTGAAAACCAACCCCCCGACCCCTCCTCACCCTCTGCCATGGTGGGTTAAGCAGTTTCTGCTTCCCACCTGGTTAGTAGTTTTGTCTTGTCATTTTGAGTGTTGTGTTCAGTACGTTCCATCCCCTGGTTGGCGTACCTTGAATAAATTGAGGAAATAATTATGGAGCACTTGCTCCCACCACAATCTTTTATTTAATACAATAAATAAAGTGGATCCTCACTTTTTTTCTCACTTTAAAACTATCAACAACCAAATTTATCAATCATCTCATCTTGCTTATATTGTAGCAGCTTTGGATGATACTGCTTCCATAGCTTAGAAATTCAATCTGCCACATCTCATTGGCTCTGGCAATATTTCATTCATTAACTTCATGATCGCCTAATTTGAGGCGATTTCCCAACAACCCAATATCACCTCAGCTCAAGGCGCTTGAATAATCAAAACTCATACCAAACTCAGCGAATTTCATCCATTCCACCATAACGTCTTAGGCCTTATCATCAAGTCATATTATAATTGCAACAAGGCATGTCCAAAATTGCCTGTATATTATTATATAAGGTTAAAATCACATTGCAATTAACTTTATGGCCTAAGATTTCCATCTCCTTTTTTTGAATTAAGCAGACTTAGATGGTTTTAGCTTAAGCAAAGTGCAGTGCATTCAGCCAAATACTTTTTTAAATAAGCTAAATGCTCTTCAAAAGTGCGAGAGAAAACAATAACATCATCTAAATAGATTAAAATGCAGGAAAGTTTCAAATCACCAAATAAGCTATCCATGGCTCTTTGAAAAGTAGCAGGGGCATTAAAAAACCCCTGCGGAAGACAAGTAAGCTTAAATAACCTCACACTAGAAATTAAGGCGCATTTTTGATGGTCTTCTGGAACCAGTCAATATGCTAGTAGCCACTAGCAAGGTCCATGGTCAAGAATAACTGTGACCCAGATAATAGTCTTAATAAATCATCAATGCGAGGTAGAGGATAAGAATCCTTTCTGATAACAGCATTAAGCTGATGATAGTCCATAACCACTCTATTACCTCCATCTTTTTTTGGATGAGAAGTAGAGGGGAAGCCCATGGACTTTGAGAAGGCGTTAGTAGCCCCGCATCAAGGAGTTGTTTCAATTCCACTAAGACCTGAGCCTTCTTGACTTTAAATTTGCAATAAGGCCAGGCTCAAATAGGGTGAGTATCCCCGGTTTTCACCTGATGCTGCACATCTTTCATTAGCCCAAAAGCTCCAGAACCCTTGGCGAATATATCTGCATACTAATCAATTAGAGCCTCAGCTTCATGCTGTTGTTCTGGAGTAAGTGAATCTCCAAATTTGACATTGACTCTAGCAATGATAGGTGTTTCTTCCAAATTAAAATCTCATAAATCCCCACATGCTGAGATAAAAAAATTCATTCACAGGAGTAGTCTGCACATAAGCAATGGGGTTACTTTGATTTAATTGCATCAGTCAAGAGGCGAGATTAGCTAGTAAGACTAGAACAGTCCCATTATAGGTGGGATCAAGAATATCAGGGCAGGTTTAGGCCTCCAAATGAGAGGGATTACTGTTACTAGAGATCTCTAATACATTATCCGCTGGCACAATTACTTATACTTTTTGTATCAATTATAACTTGAGCTTTTGGAGGAATAATAATCAAATTGTTAGAGTATTAAGGCAATCCTTCAGAGGCACAATCTTAAGAATGCGGAAGAATAGTCTTAGGTCTCAAAATTCACTGTTTAAGATGAGAGATAGAAATAGGATAATCCAATAAGTAAACGCGTCGTTTGAGTTTGTCATTATTATTATGGACATCTTTTAAAATTAAAGGTACTTGGTACCCAATTAAAGAAAATAATTGTACTTAAGATTAATTTATTGCATCAAAATCTATAAGAAATTAAGTTTCCAAAAGTAATTCATAGCAGTTATTATCCAACATTATTGCAGGGGCCAAAATAACCAACTTTTTTAAATACATTGGAAGGAAAGAATAAGCTCCTAAAAATTTAGTCTATGAAGGACCAGCATTTACATATTCTTGAGATTGATTTCAGTCTGGTGCCACTTTGATTCTTTTCATAAGCCAAGGTGAGATCACATTTATAGGTGTAAAAATTTATGGATCTGTTTATTATTTGGCCAATAACCCATCCTCCTTGGTCGGTTTCAGAACTGCTGGGCCCCAGCAATTAGTTCCCAACCCGGCCATCTGCTCGCCCACGTCCACGCCTTACTAACTCAACACACACCGCTCCACTGGTGCTCCCCTTCATGCCACGTCCTACCATGGGACCGGTGCGCCATCTGGGCGTGTGGATGGAGGCAGGCGGATATGTGTCAGCAGTAATGGAATGCCGTATACTGGAAAACGTGACGAAGCGAATTGCCTCTCTCAGAGCCCACCCTACCACCCTCACTGGCAGGGTTGTTCTTGCCAACTCTATGCTCCTATCCAAAGTCTGGTTCAGAGCCCACGCCATCCCCTTCTCCCCAAGCTTCTTCAAATTCCTGTATGCTTTGCTGCAAGGATGGCTTTGGTCAGGCCGCCCTCCACCAGTACGGCTAGAGATCATGTTTTGCCATCATCATCAAGGTGGCATGGGCCTGCTTGACTTCAAAGCCCATGCTGCCAAGATCCTGGGCACCTGGATCGTGGCCGTCACTGCTCCTACACTCCCATTCCAACACTGGTCCCGCGCGGCCCGCTCCAACTTCTCCTGAGCCTTGGGCCTCAACAATCCATCAAACCCCCACTCCCTGATGAAATACCTCGCATCACACACATCGGCCACAGGTCCTCACAGGACTAAAACCCACTACAAACAAATCCTACTCTCCATGCGAAGCGCAGGGTGGAGAATTTGTATTAGCGGACATACAACCCGAAGAGGCCGCCCCTCTCCTCAGTTCACACAAGAGGTACAGGGGCTACCCATCCATGATGGCGTGATCCCCATTCGACCCCATGTCCTATCCAGGGTGGACTACCTGGACATGATGGACATCCCTTATTCCACTGAGACCCAAAAGACTATCTGGAAATACGCACACCATCCTCTGTTGCAGCCTCAAGTCCGCTCCCATGTGTGGCGCTGCCTGAGGCGGGTGTATCGTACAGCTGAGCGCTCTAACGCTTTACACTCATCCTGTGTCGTGTGTGGCCAGTATGGAACGCTGTTCCACCGCCTGGAGAAGTGCCCCACCTCTAAAGTGATATGGCGCGAAGTCCAACGTCTGCTAGGCCAGGATCAAACGCATCCCTTCAGTCTGTTAAGAGATATGTTTGCTTCATCAATGGCCTCCCCCTTCCACCCTCCCTCCGTGCTCTGGTGGTTGCAATCGCCATGTGGACTATCCACACGATTGTCTTGGATGCCATCGCTGGCTCCATCCCCACCCTCCTGAAGCTGTCCGCAGATTCCGGTCTCATTTGTTGGACCACTTTCAAGCATGGATGTTTGGATATCTCCCACCGCGTCGCCGACAGCTGGTCTCCTCCTGGTTCCCAGTCTGGCTCATCAAATCAGACCCCTTCCTCCACACGTATTTAATTGTGGCTACGGCCCCTTCACACGTTCCCTCCCCCTCCTTATAAGTGGCGTTCCCGCTGGAAACAAGAGATAGCATCGCTTCTCTGGGGTGCCTCCCCTGGTACTAAGTTTATCTTTCTTGAGTCATATTCAGAAGTGTCCGTCCCATGGTCGGCCTTCCCCGCAATAAATTTAAATTATTTGGCCAATAACTCCTTAAAATTATTACTTTCACAGGTTTGGTTCTTGTGCAATTTTTCCGCATTGTATAGTTGTTGATATTTGAACTATTTGAGGCAAACCAACTAATGGATGGACATTACCAAAATAGAGAATGAAAGTGTCAACATGAAACCTGAACTGGGTCAACTCTGTCATAGAAAGTTTTTTTTTCACCTCCGGATTGGGACTCAGATTTTTCTGGTTATGTCATGGGTAAGGTTTTTGTGTTATTATACCTACTAACCGCCAATAGCTTCCTTTGGCTGGCACCCTGATTGATGTGCAAAAGGGCGGGAATCAAACCCGCAACCTTCAGGTTGGTAGCCATACGCCATACCAACTCACCTTCCACCCCTTATAGTTGTTGATATAATCAGTTGATAATATTTTGACAACTATTATCCATAATTGAATGGAATTTTTAGATTTCGGCCCAACACTTGGCAAGTATTTACTCTCAATTTACTTTGGGATATCTCAAAATAGGGATCCATTCCCTTGTACCATCTAACCTGATCTTCTCTGAGATTCCCTGGTTATAAATTCTCTGGTTTGAAACACAGTCAGCAGCAATCCCTGATTTGTTTCTGCTTCTTCTCTGGATCTCCGTTCAGGTACTTACTCTTTTCCTTAAAGAGTCTCCCAATTATAGCACACAGCAATAATATCCCTGATAAAGAATAGAGCAATTGAAAGCTTATAAAGTTTACTACTTAAAACTATATACTGGATAAAAACCTCCTTTTTTATTATTGGTGAATTCTAGGGAATTTATAGTGGGGATTTGGTGCTCAATCCTCAGTTGACACCTCTTCAATAAAATGGCAGCTGTTGCTGTTGAATCACCCATCCTCGTCTCAGCAGCAATGGTCTTACCCATCCTGGCTAGGATTCTGTCATTGGTCATCCTCGAGACCTAAAATTGGAAAGAGTCAGAAAACGTGTTCCTAACGTTTTCCTCTCAATACAAGTGAACCAACCATATTTGGCTAGCTAACTGCTTAGGTAATGGGACTTGTTACCCATTAATACAGGTCATGAACCAACTGATCAATTTCTAGTTGTAGGCAGCATTACTTGCCTCACAACTTACTACTTACATTCCCAATCAGTCATTGATGAAACCTGACAAGTCCCAATTGGTACACTGATAGTTAATCACTATCAGATGCCCCTATTTTATTGGCAACTCTGTCCAACAGGATCTTAAGCATTCATCCGGATTGATCCCTGATAGATCTGACCAGGCGAATATCCTAAAATCCCCAATTATAGTTACTCTGAAATCAGGGTCAACTGATTTCCAATTTACCTCACATTAGGGAATTATCCACTAGCGATTCCTGGTAATCTAGTAGGCTGGGAATATGGGGAAAAATCCCAACACATTCCCTCTCTTGCCTAGATTTCAACTGAGAAAAGGACTGGGGTAGGAGAACACCACTTCAGCACGTAGTCGAATACTTCATTTGCTCAAGCAGAGTATGATCATCATACTCAACGCTGCTCAGGACAATCTTTGGCATGTGGCTCTCTTCCTCTTCCTCATCACTACCGCCCTTTGAGCACAGTCTCCATGTTCTACTATCATGCCAGGCTGATCGATTTGCTTGTGATAATATTAATCCTGGGATCCAGCCTTCCCCCCATCAGGGCATATGACCCACTGACATATTAAGGACTCTTGGTCTGGCGTCCTCGATTTCCTGATTTTCTCCCCACCCTAAACAGGAGACTCTTTCCATCAATGTTTGTTTTGTGTCCCAATTAAGAATGCTTATTTATGTTTGCCCTTGTTTTCTTCTTCTCAAACCTCTTGGCTCATATCATTATTAATTCTTCTCTGGAGATCTTATCCCATTAATTTCGAGATTAATTTCTCTGAAATTGGAGCTGATTGGATTGTAGAGTGCATAATGTTGACTTCCATATAAGTCTGACATCCCCCCTTTCATCCATCTCATATATCACTTTCCAAGTCATGGTACCAACAGCTACTCAACAGTTTGTCTGATCAAGATTTTTGGCTCTTCCAGCAGATGAGTTGGGATGCATGACGGAACCTCTTCTATGGTCCTTCCAGGACTCATACACCTAGTCTGGCACCAGCGGCTAGTCCTTCCGTGGAATTACCAGAAACATTAACCAACCCTTTGTAAATCAGGCTAGCGATCATTTCAACTGAGTTGTGGCTGATTCTCTCTCTGTCATCAATTCCAGAGTAGGATTTCAAAAATCTCCTGGATTTGGCTCCATTTGCAGATGGACCAAACATCATTGTTGATGCTCCTGAAATAATGCCCTTCGCTCTTGATCGCTCTTATCTTGCCAGGTCAGATTTTTTCTTCCTGAGTTCCTCTTCTGACTTGGACAATACTACAAACCAGCTGTCTTGGCCACCGAGCTCACCATCAGCAACATTATTCATTTTGAACTCCCCTGCAGATTGAGGGCCCAAGTCACAGAGTCTTTATCCTAAGTGCTGAATCCTTCTGACCTTGAGAACATCCTATATTGGGATACCTCCGTTTATGCTCTTTGCTTTGCCAGACAAGTTCTATGAAGTTGGGCCACGAAATTTCCAGCCTCTCCCAGGTTCCATCGCTCCTTCTGCTTTAGCTTCCTAGAAGCTCATAGTAATCACTTGCAGGATGCCATTTGCTCCTTACACAACTATCTCATACCTGACGCTTCCCATCAGTATCTTCTTCTGATGGCTTTGATAGGGGGCATGATTCAGCAACCCTCATCTAGTATCCCTTGTTCGTTGCTGGCCAATATGTCTAGTGTTCTTGATGAAGCCCATCAGCAAGCGCTCAAGGCCAATCTTCCAGCTCTAGTACCATATCAGGATTTCTTGGTTTTTCACCGACTGCCTCTTCCTATACTGTTGCTTCCCTCCCCACTCTGGGTTTTTACAATTAGCTTCTTATGACATCTCAATTTCCCTTCCCCTAGTCTCTTTCTTGCAGGGATCTGCATCCGCTCAGAGAACTTGGTTCTGTGTAGGTTTAACCCTTGCTAGCATCCAATCTCACATAGATTTTGACAGGTTATTCATTCCTACAGTGATCATCCTCCATCCCCCAAGAGGTTACATAGGCGGAATCATCCCCAGATTGAGGATAATCATTAAAAAATAAAATTATAAAATATATCAGTTTTTTTATGTGGTCTATAATATTTCTTTCAAATATTTTTATCAATCTTTTATTTTTTTCTTCTTTTTCCATGGGACTTGACCTTGTTTCAGTTCAGAGGTCCATCTTTTCTATTTTCCCCCAAACTGGGTCCTAGGTTTTCTTAGACCTACCAGTTTTCTATGTTTCAGAGGTCCTTTTTGGACTTAACCATCTAGATTGGTTCAGAGGTCCTTTTTTGGCCTTGACCTAATCATCAGGACATAACCAACTAATGGTTCATTGATCCTTTGGGAACTCTTTTTTGTTATTTTTTCATTGATCCATTGCTTCAAATATTTAGCATGGACTTGATTTACTACTCTCACATCAAAGAGACTCTTGATGGAGTAGGCGTCAGTTGCTGTTTTGGCAATAATCTCAAATGGACCTGGCCACAATCATCCATCTTGTTTCTTCTTTCAAAACCATTCTTATCATAATAGGCAACTCTTTTGCCTATTCAATATTCTTCTAAGGCCGGTCAGTTCTTGTTATCTGTCAATTTTGCTTGTATCCTTTTCTCTAACGTAGTATCAAATGCTTGCAATTGCATCTCAATTAGGATATTTGTCAGTCAGTTCAAGTAATGTTTGGCACTCATCCCCAATGTTGGTTCCACCACCAAATAAAATCAGTGGCAATGCAGCCTTCCTCTCATATATCAATTCAAAAGGCGTTTTTCCCATCTCCGTGTGATGACTGATAATGTAGGCAAACGTCACTGAACTCAGTACATTCCCCACGTGGAAGTTCTTCCTGCAACCAGCTTCCTCAGCGTCATGGCCAGCGTTCCATTCACTCGTTCTACCAGTCCATTCATCACCGGCCAGTAGGGTACAGACACAACTCCTTGATCCCCATTATCTCATTCAATCTCAGGATCACATGAGACGTGAATTTGGTCCCATTATCACTAAGCAGGACCAGCGGGGATCCGTGTCAGTATACTACTTGATCCAGGATGAACTTCGCGGTGCTGGTAGCGTCTACTTTTTCCAGGGCCTTCATCTCGACCCATCTTGTCAGATGGTTGATAGCAACTATTATGTACTTGACTCCCCCTGTGCTCATCGTTAGTGGTCCCATCCTGTCAATGGACACTGTATGCCAGGAAAATCCAGAGTGGACCAGCCAGTATTAAGTTGTATTCTTATGTGGCTTGCGCAGCTGGCACTCCACACAACAAGCTAGATAATCTGTGACATTGTAGTTTATTGACTCCCAGTAGTACTGGAAAATATGGTCAGATGTTTTTCTCAGGCTTCCATACCTGACAACCTTATGAGTGGCTTAAATGGTATCTGCTCTTTCCAAAAGCTTTGGGAATAATTACTTCCCATTAATCATTTTAAAAACTTGTCCATCTTTGGTCTCAGTGTTTTCCTTCACTTTTCTAAGCACACCTTGGATTTCTCAGTGTTTGTTTCTGATTTCTCCGTCAACCATTCTCTGGAATAGATCATCTGTCTGTGGGTATAACATCTGAACCATTAGTAACTGTGATAAGCCATCTGAATTTTGGTGAGAAGCCCCACTCAGTGGACAATCTCGTAATCATATTCCTGTAGCTTAAGTGCCCATTGGGCCAGTTGTCCTTCTGGTTTTCTCAAATTATGGAGCCAATGCAACGAGTAGTGGTCTGTCACCACTTTGAAGTGCGTTCTATGGATGTACGCCTGAAACTGCTTACAGGCGTAAATGACCACAAAGCTTTTACACTCAGTTATGGTGTAGTTCCTCTCATCAGCTGAGAGTGTCCAGCTCACATATGCCACTGGATGTTCATCCCCAAGTTCATCTACTTGACTTAATATGGTGCTGATTGCTGTCAACAAGGCATCAGTTTGTATAGTAAATTCTCAATTGATTTTTGGATATTTAAAAATAGGAGAATCTATTAGATATTGGCATAACTTGTCAAAGAATTCCTGCGCTTCTTCAATCCATAGAAACCTTTTTTCAGATTTTTCAATAGATGGAATAAGGTCTCAGTGATTCATGCAAAGAACCAAATATATCTCTGGTAGTATCTGACCATTCTAAGGAACACTTGGATATCTCGGACACTCTTTAGCACAGCCATCCGCTCTATGGCTTCAATCTTCTGGGCTTGCAGCTGAAATTCATTAAAGTTGATCATGAATCCCAGATAGTCCAACTCTTTCTTGA